AGTGCTATTCAATACTGTAGTCTCAAGAGATTTATTGCAACTTTCTCACGGTTTCGCTATGCAAATCGCCTGGCATATGTCTGCGATCCGTTCGCCCATGGGTTTGTATACAAAGACTACATCTATTCGGAAGTGTCTCTGCGTCCAACGTTGACTGTCATTCATATTAGTTCCACACTCTTTCAGTATTGATATGTATTGGTCTTTCACCGGTGCTTGGTGTTTCCTCATATTTTCATCAGTTTGTCTAACACTACATCTGTTCGGAAGTGTCTCTGCAATTCTTTTATGGCCTGCATTCCTAAAAATCCCGTACTTCTTCAGTATTGATATGTACTGGTCTTTCACCAGTGCTTGGTGTTTCCTCATGTTTTACCTTGTACCCTTTTGCACCAGGTTTTATTGAACAGTACTACAGCACACGCCATCATGAACACAACAAACAACTCCACCATCAAATATCAATCGATCTGCCGCGCACATGTCCGGGTGTGGCGTTGTTCCAACAAAATATAGTGCATGAGGTGAGCTATATACATAGATGGATGAACCGTATGTCAATTGGGCTATATACATATGTGCATGTACTGTTTGTGGATTAATCTATATACGCGCATGCATATATGAAGATATATACATAGATAGACGTACTATATGTTGATTGGGCTATATATGTATATATGCATGTATTGTTTGTGGAGTAAGCTATATACGTATATGTATGTTTAAAATATATAGGTGAGCTATATACATAGATAGACGTACTGTATGTGAATTAAGCTATATATATATATATATATATATATATACTATATGTATAAAATATATAAGGTGAGTCATATACATATGTGCATGTACTGTATATGAATTAAGCTATATGCATATATGCATGTAAAAAATATACGAGGTGAGTTATATATATTGCATTGTGTATGTGGTAAAGTCTGCAAGTGTAAGGTCTTGAGGCTGATATCGTGACTACACGAGCGTAGTTGTTGTGCGTAGGGTGAAGTTCTCATACCTACAAATATATGTAGTGATAGTGTGTGGGGGGTACGCTTACTAACATGCATTATAGCTATGTTCTGTATATTGTGAAGTGTACATACATACTACACACCGCTGTTGGGCATGGGCTATGTTCACCAAATAAAGCAGACCCGTGTTTGTTTTGTTATATAGACGTACTGTATTTGTAGTACTATGCAAGAACTCTGCCTTTGTAGTGTCGGATTTTATCTTCATTTGAGATGAGGTAGACGCTATAGTATAGATATACCTCGAGCGCTATAGTACAAAAATCGAATCACACAGATACATTAAGTATTGTACATGAACTCAGCCTTTGTAGTGTCGGATTGTGCCTTCATTTGAGATGAGGTAGACGCTATAGTATAGATATACCTCGAGCGCTATAGTACAAAAATCGAATCACACAGATACATTAAGTATTGTACATGAACTCAGCCTTTGTAGTGTCGGATTGTGCCTTCATTTGAGATGAGGTAGACGCTACAGCATAGATATAGCACGAGTGATATTGTACACAACTTGACTTGATACATCTGTGAGTGTATACCTGTCCAGTCTTCTGGACTTATTAGCTCTATGTTTGCGATTGGACTGGCAAGTATGGACCGAGTTGGAATAGCATAGCTGCCTTAGGTGGCCATAGTGTGACCTCGCTGAAGTGCCGTTTGCAATGATGGCTGTGTTTTGCGTAGTGCGTGCTGCAGTAGTCTCATATATATATATATATATATATATATATATATATA